TTTTTTAGTGCCTACTAAATAGTTATTCAAAAGTGGCCAGCCCTGGGAGAACAGTAAATAGATGACAATTGAACAAGGAGAAGAAACAAAAAATGTTTGTTTCAGATCATCTTGAATTCCAAGGGATTAATTTAGATTTTTTTTCTATATTTTTCATGAAATAAAACTATTTGTTTGTGGTCAAATTATTTAGGCTGTTGAAAAATTAATGCTTTCAGGCAGCTTTAATAAAAGTAGCATGGTAGATTCCCAGATGCTGCTTAGTACTCAATAGTTTGGGAGGAATACTATGTTCCTAACTTAGCTTCAGCAGTTTCAGACCTAGAGTTTGATCAGAACTTCCAGCTCAAAGTGCTGCAGTCAGTCCACATTTTGAAGCTGTTCTCTCTAAAATCTTAATCTCATTGGATGAGGCTGAGAATAACTTGACAGTTGAAGTATGCCTTAGTTAATAGAGGCATACAACATAGTATATTAATACTACAGATCTTACATTTGCAAATCTTCTGGCTGGCTGTTTGTGAGTTGACTGTCCTCAGTAACATTATGCTTCTTAGAGAATGAGACATTGATTTTGCACCAAAAGTATATTTGTTGGCTGCTGACCAACTTCTAAAATAAGTGGGACCCTGGGGTCATGTACAGGGAGGGCACTTGTGCAGTTTCATAGAAAAGATTGTTGGAAAAAAAGGCTGAGTGATAAACGGTTAGATGAGATGCATACCACTTACTGTGTGGAAGACAGGAACACAAATATGTTTGGGTTGGGGTTGGTTTTTTTTTCAAAGAATTCACTTAAAGTAGGAAAACAGTATTGGTGGGTGACGTTACCACAGTTGTGTTGCAAAGCAACTGGAGAGAGAGTATAAAGAAAATGTTGTCATTATTTATACTTAGCCTAGTACAAGGTCTGCATTCTTATTTGCTTATTATGCCAAATCTCCTTGATTAAGTGGAGTAACACTGGTGTATTTCTAGATAGTGCACCTGCAGGTCTAAAAATCTAAAGGATATTCAAACCTCATGCCAGTTTCATTTCCAGAATGTTGTTTTCACTTTAAAAAACCCACAACAAAACCTCAAACAAACCACCTTTCTTTCTGTTTCCTCTTCAGTCAATACCCAAACTCACCTTCCCAGGTGGATTATTAATTGGTTGCAGTCCTGGACTCATGAATGTTCCAAAGATCAAAGGGACGCATACTGCAATGAAAAGTGGCATGTTGGCTTCCGAAGCCATCTTCAGCCAATTAATCAATGAAAATCTCCAATCAAAGACAATTGGTAAGATCGTAGTCTCTTGATTTATCATTACCTTGTGTTCAATTGGAACTCCCAGCATCTTAGCAGTAACTACATGTGCCTGAAAAAATGATTTGGGAATGCAAATAAATCACAGAACTAGTGTGGTGGTTTAAAAATATAGCTGTTGTTTATTTGCTATACTGTTACATTATTTAAGAAAGAAATTAATAGTTTTGCTTAGATATTAAGTATTGATCCTATTGCCAGAAAAAAAAATTGCCTCTAATGGGCATCTGAACAGTGAACTTACACTTCCTGCATAAATGAACAAGAATATTATATATTTTGTTCCTACAAATATGTTAAAAATTAGCACTTTAGGATTCAAGTGTGTTACTGAAAGACTACAGGATCAGAGAGAAAAAATTTAAAGAAACAGTGTAAGCAGAACAAGGAATTTTGCAAGCTTGCGCTTGTTTTTTTGCTAGGATACCTTTTTCCTTCAGTCCTGTCTTTAATTTTACAGACTTCTCAATTTGAGACTACATGTACTTCCTATTATATGTAGTTGCAAGCACATTTAAGTAATTACCTGATCCTGACTGTATTTTAACAGTTCATTTAAGCCTTGTTTTTTCCCTTAAATCTCTTAACAAAGACTTTAGAGAGAAAACTCAATTGGAGTTTTGGTCATTCTGGATATAACTAAGTGCCCCATGATTGTTATTTTAGAAACCTGTAGTGTGGATTTAGCCCTGCTGAGCTCTTGATCATTGGAAACATGCAATCCATGTTGCTGCAGAGGGTATTCTGAAAAATTTCAACTTTTAACTAGTGTCACAGATTAAAATGCTTAGATCACATCTGAAACAATAAACACTCTTACTGGGTAATGTGCTGTTCTTGTTTGATTAATGGCAGGTTTTATAAGCTGTTCCCAGCTTTGTCAAGACAGTAGAACATTACAGCTCACTTTCTTCTCTTTGCAGAGGTTAGCAGTATTTTTCCAGTATGTCCTCCTGAAATACAGGAGTTACAGACTGAAGCATGTTTTCATGTATAGATAAGGCTTAAAAGTTATATTTAGAACATTTGTTCTTATACAGCAGTAATAGAATGGTAAAGGGGAAGCTGTCAGGAAATTTTTAATCTGAACATTATTTTTCTAAGATAATTGCTTGGCTTAACTACACTGCAGTAAAAGTCTCATGTCAAGTGTGCAATGTCTAGCATTTGTGAAGAATACAATCAGTTTAAATTAAAAGTTTGTAGTCTAATGTATCCCATTAAGTTGCTGATTACAGTGGGAGAAAGATGGTTCTCTAGCACTGGCATCATCCATTGGGCTGTAGTCAGTTATTTGAATTGGAGTTCGTGGTTGTGTAACTTGTAAAGGAAAAGCTTTAGAACTTGACAATGTGAAAATTACAAACCTGGCACTTGGATCACAGGTAAACTCTCCTGGTCAATTGTTAGATTCCATGAGTAGCTGTTTTCCCATATAGATGCCACTATAGCCATCTGGCTGGTTATCTTTACATTTTGCTGAGGTTTGAGGCAATTCAGTGCTGCTTTAATAGGTCATTTAATAGAGGCTACAAGGGTATCTGCTGATAACTGCCAACAAAACAGATCTCTTTAAGAGGCTGAAATATGATGTCTAGTATACTCCTAGCTTACTATTCTGAAATTCTCATTTGCTGTCTTTGTTGCTAACAATTGCCTTTATTCAGCAATTATTTTTTGTTTCAAGGATAGTCTTTATGTACTATAGGTACCTAACAAGTAATGTACTACCTTAGGACTTGATGTGCAAGAATATGAAGAGAACCTGAAAAAATCTTGGGTCTGGAAAGAGTTGTATGCAGTTAGAAACATCAGACCATCCTGCCATAGTGTACTTGGTGTGTATGGAGGAATGATTTACACAGGTATCTTTTATTGGCTACTGAGAGGAATGGAACCATGGACATTAAAACATCCAGGTAATTTCATTATCTCCTGAAAGAAAACACTACTTTTTTATGTCAGTCATTTCTGGTCTTAATTGAAGCTAAAGCACATCAGGTCAAGTAGCAAGGCCAGAAAGTATAGAAAATAAATTGATGTTAATGCGGTGAAGAAGGTATGTTACCTAACATACAATGTAAGTAAAGACATTAAAGCACTCTTCAACTTAACGTAGTTCTTTTTGTCTCATGAAAAAGGCTACATGTTATGAAATGCTTCATTCTGTTTACAAGGGAAATTAAAATAGCTTAACTGTTCTTGCATAACTCCAAATTACAGTAATTCTATACTGAAACTTGTTTATTTAAAATATATTTAGGACCAGATTTTGCGCAGCTCAAGCCAGCCAAAGACTGCACGCCTATTGAATACCCAAAGCCTGATGGAAAAATCAGTTTTGATCTCCTGTCTTCTGTGGCTTTAAGTGGTACAAACCATGAACATGACCAGCCTGCTCATTTAACTCTCAAAGATGACAGCATCCCTGTGAGCAGGAATTTGGCTGTATTTGATGGACCCGAACAAAGATTTTGTCCAGCAGGTAGGTAATAAAAATCTGTGTCTGAGCTGGTTTTGCAAGGTGAAAGACCAGGTACTTTAGGAAGACTCCACCTGGCCTCCTACTTCCTTCAAACATTCTATCCCAAGCCTCCTCCTGGAAGAGAGTTCAAGTGCAGGTTTTGAAATATATTAACAGTTCATGACAAAATCATTAGTATATATGGAACAAGGCAGTTGAGCCACTCTAGCAATATACTTCCTCATTACACTTGCTGGTAACTAGTAGAGAATACATGCAGGGGAAACCTGTTCAATGAAGTGATAGCTCTCTTTTGCTTATTGCAGGAGTTTATGAATATATTCCTCTGGAAACAGGAGAAGGATCAAGACTACAGATAAATGCTCAGAACTGTGTCCACTGCAAAACATGTGATATTAAAGACCCAAGTCAGAACATTAACTGGGTGGTACCCGAAGGTGGAGGAGGACCAGCTTATAATGGGATGTAAACTGACAGGAAATCTATTCAGTGATTCCTGATCAGCAGCATATAAGTTGGGAGTATTTTATGCTGCATTGTAATTGAAGTACAGCACTGACCTCAGTGTTACGGAGGTTACAGTGTTGGAGGCTAATGTGCCATTGTGAATTTTAAGTATGACCATTGCATTAAATGGAAAGTTGGTGCCTTCTGGTTAAACCCTAGCCTTATTTAAATAGAACTTCTTTACAGGAGTTGTGTAGTGCACAGGAGAAAGTTCTTCTCAGAACTGACAAAGGAACCTTGGATCTTAGATTTATTGCTGAAGTCCAGTGAATTGTGGATATGGTGGAAGAATTTAGTACCTACCCTTAAAAAAAGTATTTTCTCTATCTGGAGTGATTTACTATACATAATCCTACCTTGCAGTAGGGAAAATATATGAGTCTAAAAACCTGTCACTGCTTTAAGTGTTACACATTTGACATCAACTTTACAGTTACAATTTTTTTTCCCATCAATTTGATTTTAAAAAGTGTAATACTTGAACCTTCATCATATCTACCAGCATTTTTATTTCTTACAAGAAATCAGGCCTGATCTAATAAAAACTAATAGAAACTGCCTAATTGTCTTAGTATTAAACTAAGCTTCTTAGGAAGCACTAACTATTAAGCTGCAAAATACACGTGATTTACACATTAGAAACACACCTGAGTTGCAAAACACAATTATTACAGCTTAAAAAAAAAAGAAAATCATATCACCTTTGAACAGTTTGTCTTTTATTATTAGAATTTTTTTGAGTTGTCAACACTGAAAACTGCAGTGCAGGGCAAATGAAAGAAGTAGCTCTGTTAATTCTTTTGCATGAGTTAGTGCATATATTTAAACGTTTATAAAAAAATCAAGCAAACATTTTAGCATAAGCTGCCTTCTCTTTCTCCTTTTGGGCTTTTATCTTCTGTTTGATTTTGAGTGTTTCCGTCTGGATAGCTGCTTAAAAAGAAAATCCATTATACAGTTATAGTAATCTCTTTATTATGTCAAGACCAGGTTGCCCTGCTGGAAACTGCTTTTAATCTTCTATTAGGTCAGCAGCAAAAAAACCTTGTCCCTCACTTTGTTTCACCTGGTATGGTAACCACATAGAGGAGGGTGTAGCAAGCATAGTATTGGTGCCAACACAAAATTTATGAGATAAAAATCTTACCCACTTACACAAGGGAATTAAGAAATAAGGCCTCTGTGACAGAGGGAGGTGGTTCAAGGGGCATGCTGACCTACATAAGCGGGTACCCAGTGCACCAGAAATATCACTGCTGTACAAAAACAGGTTTTTCACCTCTCTGGGTTCTTGGCTAAATAATACATCAGCATTTAAGCTGATAAGAGGCCAGCATTTTGGGCACCACATGGTATGTTTTTCTGCTATTATATCCTGGTTACTTTGTTATATTCCTAAAGTAAGGAATCTAGAGAGAAATAGCTTTATTTTACCTTTGTCTTCAGGGGCAATTTCATGAGCCTTTTTAAGATCAGCCTTAAATATAAGAAATATAAATTAATGTTCTGATTAAACACTTAGTTTAAAAAAATTACTAAATATTGTGATCATTACCAGTGCTTCATCGAGATCTTTTATTCCCTGCCATCCTTGAGCCCGTCTGTAGAGAGCTTTAGTATTTGCTGGATCTATTTTAAGAGCCTGTAAATTTAAGAAATTGTCACATTAACATTTCATACACTTCACAGCCTCCCATCTCTGCAAGTGGCACAGCTCACACCAGCAGACAATCTCCAGGCTGGTTTGTGGGTAAGCTGTCATTAACTGTGTAACAAGGAATGCTATATTGTAGCACACTGACTAGATAGCTAATCCATTTTAATAGCACTGCACCAGAAATGGGCTTTTGTGAAGGACAAGCATAGGTGAGAGTAAGATGGAACATCTGCACATGGATCAAGGCAAAGGTGTTAACAGCAGGTCTTCTTATCCTAACCTTGAGTGTCACTGTACAACTCTGTATTGCAGCTCCTTCTTTCACACAAAAAAACCCCTCAAGTGGCATCATAAAGAAAACAAGATTTCCTGTAAAGCTTTTTCACCGTAGGCTAGGAAGACACATACAAGCAATCCATTTCATACTTCAGGAACCTTGTCAAGTTCCAGTCCTTACGCCTTTCTGGAGCTGAATGGTTTTGCTCATGTATATACCAACTGTAATATGACAGTAGCAAAACAGGAAATAGAGTGGCTGGGCAAACTGATTGTTCTACTATCTGATTACTTAAATTATGTTTTTCTAAGTTGCTCAGTTAATTTGGCTGGCTAGTTTTGTTCTCTTGGTTGTGAAGATAACATGCCTTTTTCTTATTGCAGGTAGTTCTATAATGTGTCTTTCTGTATAGTTATAAAGAATATAGTGTTTTAGTGATGGGAGGAAATATATTAACTTTACGTATTAACTTGCATTCATTAATTAAGAATTAGAGACATTAGACAATGTATCCAGGTTTTTTTAAAATCACTTCAGTATTGGCTGTTTATGTAATGCAAGTATGACTGAGCACTCATCCTCATCTGTCTGCTCTAAAGCCTAGAGCCTCTTTGGGTCAAGAATTAGAAAATGAGGTGTCCATGTTGTGTACTCAGAGGTAGCATTCCTTGCTTTTAGCTTGACCAGTGTGTTCACAACTATTTTAAAGCAAAGTTTGTTTGAACAGGTTCAGCTGTTCATAATTCCTCATTTACACCAAATAATGCACTTATTACACATTGCTAATTTAAAATGCTTTTGGCCTTAGGAAATTAAAAAAGTGAAAGTGTATGGTTTCTTATTGACAATTACCTTGAACTCTACTAGTTACCCTTAGGAAACTGGTGTTCTGGTAAAAAACTTCTGATGAGCAGAAGATAAATACATTATAGAAGTCTACTACAACTGTAAGTTGCCTTCGTCTAACAATTTCATAATTTTTAAAGGAAGTTTTGGAGCTTTTTTCCCTCAGTGGCAAGTATTAGAATTAATAACGTCTATCTGTAATACTTAAATGCTGTTTCAATTTTTACCATTTTCTAGGTAACTGATACCATATTACAGTTTTCTTGTGTTTTTCTTTCCATATCCCCTATTTCTCCATTCTGAAGATGGCTTATGAAAATTTTCTATGTGGTAACACTGCCAGCAGGCTAGAAAGCAAGGCAGCTCTCTAAAGACCGCTCACACACTCTCCTGCTTTCAGCATGAAGTCCTAGGAGATGCTGCTCAGGATTCTCTGCTATCAGTTTAGAGCATTCTTTACTCTGATCCCTTCAAAATGTCAAAGTTTTACTGAATTATTTAAAGCTTCTTAAAATATACTAAATTCTGTCAGTATGTCTATGTCACTTCCTGTTCTTTCCTCTTAATTCTATTATTTTTCAATATTTCCATGTTTATTGTTTCCTTCCTACTTTCTTCCTATTCAGTGGTTTTCTTCCTATTTCAGTGGTCTACCAGAAAGGGCTTTAATTAGAAAAGTCACCTCAATTATAATGTCCCTGCCCATGCAGGGGGGTTGGAACTAGATGATCATTAAAGGTCCCTTCCAACCAAAACCATTCTGTGATTCTGATCTAATACAAGGCCATCAAATATAAAAGTAAAAAGTTTTACTTAAACTACTCTTCCAGAGAAAAGTATTTCTCTTTCATTGAAGACAGTTTAACTCTTCGTAAAATAAAAATTAGCTCTGCTTGTAGGAAACAAAACTGACAATGACAATGTGCAGGTTTTTATGGCAGTAAGCAACAATCGTCTTTTGTTTGTTTCTAATGAATAATTTCATTTTCAAAATATTTTTTAAAGCCTCACACTGGAAAGTTATTACTATCTTCACCATCAGTCTTCTACTTTGCTTACTTTCAAATAATAAGCTTGTCAGAAGACTCTGAAACTACAAAGCTTTAAATCTCCATTTTCCATACAAGCCAATTGTTAATCCAGATACTGAATATTAAATTTACCTCTGAACAACTTTCAATGGCTCCCTGCCAATCCAACAGTTTTAGTTTACAGGCACCAATGTTTAAAACACAGGTCAAAGCAACAGCCTTTAACTTTGGTTTGTCTGCCTCCTCTGCCACTTCTTCAGAAGCTTCTACATACCTGCAGAAAAACAGATTTACAAAGAACATGTGTCAATCTTGCAACTTAGATTTTGTTCAGTCCTTAGCTGTCTTTCCACAGATATGTGCCAAATGGCCTCTCCAAATTGATGTTTTTTAAAGCAGCTTGAATTCCACCATTAAAAACATTTATTAAACTAAAAATATGACCTACCCTAACAAAAAAAATTAACTCAGTTGCAAATGTTTCCCTGTAACTCCTATCCCTCTACTGTACTAACAGCATTCTTTTTATTGGACTATTTTAGATGGCATGAAACCATTAGAATTTATCTCAATGACTGTTTATTCTCAGAAAACATGCTGCTCATCAGTGGCAAAAAGTCAACACCACCACTGCATATTCCACATTTGTAGGAACCTTCCATCTCTTCTTCAGTTCCCTCAGTAATATTTTAATTAATTTAGGCATTCACGGGTAAAAGCTGAAGCTAGCTTTACTTTAGGATGGTGCTTTATGAGCATTATTAACTCTACCTTCTTTCCACTGTCTTCCTTCATGGCTTTCTTCCTGAACTTAAAAGCTGACACTGGTTCAGGACTAAGCCACATTTACTGCATCTCTTATTTCATAAGCAAGCTTGTATCTACTCTTCTTAATTTACATTATGCTAATGCTGTCAGTTTTTTATTTCAAGTGGCAAAGCTGTGTTGTGGATATAAAAGTCTTAGTTCCTTTGATGGCCTACTTGATAGAACTGTGTTTTTTATTTCAAATATAAAAAGTGGTTTTGCATACATTCACATTTTAAGCATGCCATGCTTAATGCAGCCTTTGCAGACCAGTGCTTGTGTAGGTTCAATTTTTGCATTCCGTACCTTTTGAGTGTTGCCTGGTTTGTATACAACTTTGGATGACATAAATAAGCAATACATAAGTAAATTAAACATAGGCTTAGTGATTTTTCCACTTGCTGGGCATCATGCAAAAGCTAAGGAGAGTTGTAATACAAACTTATGTTGAAAACAAACAGAATACACTTATAATATTTTAAAATTGAACCAAAATATGGAAGATAGCAACCATTCTGGAAACAAAATTAGCACTTCCAAGTCAAAGAAATCCATAAGATGAGTATCAAGGGAAACAACAGGAAGTAATACTTTTTTTGACACAAGTGTCACTTCTTCCATATAAAATAAATTTTTAAAAACTGGTTAAGTAGCAATAAGACAAAAACAGAAGCTTAGCATGGTTAGTTAGTAAAAAAAGAAAAAAACAGTATTGCCAGATGGTTTGCTAGGTGAGTTGTACTTAAGACACAGGAGATATTAAGAGCTATTTATTACTATCAGTTCTGGTGAAGTGCCAGCTAAAGTACACCATTTTATCTAAGTACTAGATTTTAAGATATAACAAGAGGGCACATCCATAAAAGTATGTCTCATAAAGAACTGGAATGAGCAGATTTATTTAATCTAGAAGAGTTACTATTCTTTCTATCCACAAGGACATGAAGCACCAAATAGAAGCTGGCTACTCAAACTAGAAGTGCCTTCATTGGATGTGCTGAAGAGTGAGCAAGACATCTAACTATAAGAGATGGCATAATTATATCTGATATTTACTAAAAAATGGGAATAAATGGACAGACATGACACAAAGTTTGTTAAAGATCCAATCCAGCCTTTTTTCTGTATGATTTCTAAAGGGTTCACATAGCAATCCTACTATTTACTTTGGGGTTTCTTTTGGTCTAGGATGGGCTTTTTGAGAGCAGTGGGAGATATTGCATCTTGGGTTAGTATCTGTAATTAAAGGGTTCATTTTTATGCTGCAGAAAGACATTGTTTGTTTGTAACCCAATCAGTTAAAAATCTCAGATGAGTTTTAAATATGCCTGAATTTTTTTCTCTTCTATTATTCTTACTGCTAGTTAACCAGTGATCATTAAGAAGCATAAAGGTCCTAAAGGTTTTAGAAGAAGCTCATACACATAAAGCATGAAAATAAGAAAGGAGCAGTATGGAAACAAAAGCAGAAGGATCATGATTTTGGAGGCAACTCTGAATTATACCTGGAGTCAGGATGATGGTATGTAGCCTCAGAAAAAAGAATGATTTAATAAGGGTCACATTTGGGGGTACTCTCATAAACTTAGGAATTTCCTAAACCTACTGGTCTTTAGAAATCAGAGAAAAAGTATCTCCCTCCTGTTCTGTCCATTAACTACCTTATGTATACTACTGTGCTTTTCCTCATATGGACCAGCACAGCAGGAGTATCAAAAAAGGAGCACTTAGTCCATTATAAAAAAACACTTCCTTCCTGTAACTCTTAATTAGCAATGAGTAGAAGACCTACTTGAATAACTTCCTATAAATCAACTAAATGTTTTCCAGATTCAGAAGGCTCTATTTTAAAAAAAGAAAAAAAAACACAGGCACTTTTTAAATGCACACAGCATTGCTTGATAGCAGTATTAATTTGGGTTACAGAACTACCTGACTGAATGATGACAGCCTTACCGTAAACTTTTACTATACTTTTGAGCTGCCACTGCCCAATTTTGCGATTTGAAGAAAGTATTTCCTATATTCTTTATGTCTTCTGCTATGGCCACAATCTTGTCAACCTATTAAACAGACAGAAAATATGAAGTATGAATGTACTTATGAAAGAGGTATTGAATTACTTAATGTTTAACAGTAGGATCCCTTGTCCATCCTCTCTCAAAGATTGGTATAAAATCTCAGAATAAATATATTCCAACTTTAGACAAATACTAGCTTCAAACCACTGCTATAATATTCTCTATTTTACGTAAAACAGTAGTCTGAAAGATGAAATGCCTAATGGGTTTTCTACAGTGTAAATGGTGAGAAAATACCAGAGACAACATAGCAGTTGAACTGCTTCCCCTAAATGCTGCTACCCACACAGAGCTATATATAAAGCTGTTGACTGTTATTCATAGAAAAGAAGACATGTTAGCAACCAGAGTATTCAACCAAGACTGCCTTATTCCCAAGGAAATGTTGTCTTCTTCTCAAAATGGTACTAGACACCTGAACTCCACGTGCTCTCAAACTAGAACACCTAAAACATCTATGGAAGGAGAAAAAGAACAAGTGCCTATCTTTATCCAATCTATAATTTCTCATTCCAGAATGGAATACATTCCAAGTGTTAAGTTACTTTGCCAGTGGCAATAAAAAATTCAAATGTATATACTGCCATTTGTAATACTACCACAGCTTGAGACCAATGTCACCAGTTTCTGTAGTTAGCTTATATGAACAAGTTTAAAGTTAAAGGAGGCAGGCACCTGCCAACTTTAGTGCTATCCAAAAACATTTGTACAAGTTGAAATGCTTCTCAATAGTCAGATACAAGGTGTTTCTGGTTTCTAGCTTTATTTTCTACTATTCTGTTTCTAAGTCTGTATTTGGAATCTACATGTGCAGCCCCCCTTTTCTTCCCCTCGTACAAAACACTATTTGAGTTACACAGTTTGTCTTTTTCACTGTCATGATAAAATAAAAACCTGCCGAAGAGCTGCTTCCACCAGTCTACTTCCTAAGTCTCAAAAACAGTTTGAACAACTTGAAAAGCAGACAGCTACTGGGACTTGATAACAACTAGCTCTGATGTAGTAAAAATTTTTTGAAAAGGTTGATAATTTCTAGTAAGTGGGTCAAAATCTTTTTAAGGGTAGATATTTTAAAAGTTGCACAGAAAAAGTGTGTAGGTACAACATTATGTTAGTCATATGCAGGAACTGTAGTAACTGCAATTTGTCACCACAGCACAAACAAAAGTAAAAAGAAACAACAGAAAATATTATAATCGTAAGTAATTGGGGGTTTTTTTAGTTACTGGGGAAAAATCAGCTACAATTAGCACTGGGAAAAAGACAGCAATCCCCTTCCAGTTTGCTCTTTCCTAAAACTGAATGTCACAATTAAATCAGGACCTTGATCAATGCTTTAAGAAAAAAGACTTACTGAACATCATCAGAGACACCTTGTAATTCAGATTACCTACAAGTCTTATATTCTGTAAAATACCCTAAAAGAAAAATACTTACATCTTTCAAGTCTATATCCGAGTCTTCAGGAAAATCTGCATGAGCATCTCCAGATCCATCCTGGGGAACAATTCCCCAGTCATCTCCTTCCTTTAGCTCTCCACATTCCGCAATGACGCACAACTGAAAAAAATGAAGAATAAATCATAGTGTTGCTTACTAAAACAATTTCCTCCAAAAAGCCACAACTTCTGAGTGCTCTTTCAGCTTTTTCAGCTGTTGTTTGGATGCGTTGATTTCAGAGACCCATCACATCATTAGCCTATCTTCATCAAAAGGCATTTATCACAGAACGTGTTGCCTTCAGCAAAGCAGCATTCCAAGAACACCAGACCCACGTTTCACAGAGAGGCTGGAAGAGATGCTGGCAGCAGGCTGAGCTGCAGCAAAACACAAGACATGGAAGTTCTACTACATCAAAGAAGATGGTTCTTCCTCAAACTGCGAAGTCTTTTAAAGTTACAGATGTATTAATTTTTCTAACAACCAGAAACTGACACGACCTACACAATGATTGCTTTTCCAGACATATGATGACTTCTGACCTAAAATTTGTAAGAATTGCATATCACTTCAGGATTTTGAATTCCAGTCTTCAATTTTGTCACCCATCCTAAACTTCTAGCTGTGCATTTCTACCTTCACCCTGATACAGGTTTCCATCCTCACAGCTCTCCTGAATAAATCGTTTGTGCAGGTGAAATGTACAGCAAAAGAAGTACTGGTTAGTTCTAAACATTATATAAAGCATTTAGAAAGCATTTAGAAAAAACTAAGGTACATCATATAATGGAAGAATAAACAACATCCCTAAGTGCTTTAGGTTTTGCTTACCTTAGCAGGATTTTCTCCTTTTACTTCAACGTTTTCTAGCATTTTAACTACACCCATTCCTTTGATCACTTGGCCAAACACCACATGTTTCCCATCCAGGTGAGAAGTAGGCACCGTTGTAATAAAGAACTGAGAACCATTAGTACCAGGACCTGCATTTGCCATGCTCAGTAGCCCTGGTTTATCATGCTGCATTGGGGAAAAAATCATAACCAACAAATAGAAGATCTGTTAATAAACCATATATAAGATTCTGTAAAGCTATTACTATATATAGCAAGGACAGCCATAAATGACATCTTGGTAAACCAGTTACATACAGCTGGCACCTCATTCTACCTATCCTGACTGAATAGGGTAAATTGCCCAGCTCTGCATCTGTTTTTGCCACCTAGCAGTCTAGCAAGCAGAGCCACAGATGTGACTTGATGCTGTAACGTGATTGAGTCACCATCTTGGTAAGAAGTGTAGATGTGGTGCTTTGGGACATAGCTTAGTGGTGGACTTAGCAGTGCTACTTTAGCGATTGGATTTGATGATCTTTTCCAACTGTCCTGGTTTGAGCCAGGACACCAACCAAAACGATTCTGTGATTCTAAGAACATTTGTCTGCTGCTTGTACACTTAATCCCCTGCACAGCTGCTGACTTTAGACAGATAACCTGAGAGATAAAAGAGTTTCTCACTGGACTATTGAAGACCACTGGTCTCAAGAAACAAAGCAAAGCACCGCATAAACCAACTTTAATGTCACACTGTCAAGATGGGCATGTGTTGCTAATTTTATAAGGGCTACTCACACAAAGTATGTTGTAGAACTTCGGGTTTTAGGGGACTGTAAAGGTTAGTGTTAGGGTTTTTTAACACTCTCTGAGAGACAGTTTTTATTCTGTTGGGATTTCTAACAATTTAATTATTTTGGCTTATGTTACCAGGCCACAAACAGCATAGCTCCCTCCTTCCTCTAGCTGAGCTGATAAAACTGCATGTAGGTCTGCACTAATGGTTGCTAGTAATGAAATAGTGAGCTCTGACACAGCAGTGGGAGTAAGTAATGGAAGGGGTAAGGATTTCTGCCATCAAAGCCAGCATCTCTTAGGACATCTTCAAATTGAGACCTTTGCATATTCAAAAACTTGCTTTGTTCACAGCACACTTTTCCACCATTTTTGTGGGGAAAAAAGCCATTCATAAACAGCCTTTTACTTTTCGTATCACTGAAAATAACTGTAGTGGGGAAAATGCTTTCTTTTAAATTTTCCTTTGGATTAATTCTGCAATCTACCATAGATTCCCCATTTCTCACACCTATTCTGATGGCTGTTATTAGTATATGAAAAAGAAAAGGCATAAAATCCATTTAATCTTAACATACTGCTGATGCTTGAGTGACAGAATTTGCCACTCTTTTAAAATAATACCCATTTCAATGAGTATTAAAATAGTTTCACATATGTTCTGTTAACCTGGGATTAAAGAGTGTTAATTCTGAACTTGAAAAACTTGAAAAAACATAAAAATTACTGAAACTTCAAAAAACTGAACACAAATACAATTTTCAATAGAGTACCTTATAATGAAAGTTTTCATCTTCAAATTTTTCACCATATATACTTTCTCCACCAGTGCCATTTTGGTTTGAGAAATCTCCACCCTGGACCATGAATTGCTTAATAACTGTAAAAGAAAACAATTATAAAATAGAGCAGCAAGGCAGGAAAGGCACAAAGAAAAACAATTCAGAGATGAAGAGCAAACCCTGTCACCAGCACTTATAGAATCACAGAATCCTAGGAGTTGGAAGGGATCTCGAAAGATCATCTAGTCCAACCCCCCTGCCAGAGCAGGGTCACCTAGAGTACATCACACAGGAACGCATCCAGGTGGGTTTTGAATGTCTCCAGTGAAGGAGACTCCACAACCTCCCTGGGCAGCCTGTTCCAGGGCTCTGTCACTCTCACAGTAAAAAACTTTTTTTCGGACATTCACCTTGAACCTCCTATGCTCCAATTTGCACCCATTACCCCTTGTCCTATCACTGGTCATCACTGAGAAAAGCCTAACTCTATCCCCCTGACACTCACCCCTTACATATTTGTAAACATTGATGAGGTCACCCCTCAGTCTCCTTTTCTCCAAGCTAAAGAGACGGAGCTCCCTCAGCCTTTCCTCATCAGGGAGATGTTCCACTCCATTCATCATCTTTGTGGCTCTGCACTGGACTCTTTCAAGCAGTTCCCTGTCCTTCTGGAACTGAGGGGCCCAGAACTGGACACAATACTCCAGATGCGGCCTCACCAATGCAGAATAGAGGGGAAGGAGAACCTCTCTTGACCGACTAACTAACTAATTAAATCTGAAAATCACCTTTTCTTTATAAAATCTCTCCTAACTACGCCTTTTCAGTTGACATCATCTGCTATTTAATCCTTAACCTGAAATCATTTTCAACCTATTCACAACTCACAGTAAACTATTACTTTTAGTAAACTCATAGTTTTACTATGACTAACTTACTAGTAAATCTATAATTTGGTATTGTCAACACACGGTAAAAACATTTAGTCATTAGGAGGATCAAAAGTCACATACTTTCAGTCAAGTTATTTCTTAAACAAGTGCTCCAAAATATTATTTAACATTATTTCAAAAACTGAAAATGGAGGTCTTCTGTTACCAATAGGAAAATGGAGGATTTCATAGAACTTACTTCTGTGGAAAGGACATCCTTTATAATGGAGAGGCTTTCCAGTGGTAGGCCCTGTGCCCTTCTCTCCTGTACATAACGCACGGAAATTTTCAGCAGTTTTAGGCACAACGTCAGCAAATAATTCAAAGACAATGCGTCCAACTGAAATGGCAGAGAATGAGACATATTTTTAAGTCCTGTCCTTGGCACGGTGCTGTGTTGAGCATTATAAGGTAATGGAAATGAATGTTTCAGACTTGATTATTTTTATTTCAATTACTGTTACATTTACATTTTGGGGTTGTTCCATGACAGTCGCTGGGAGAGTTACATTATGTTTTAAGCAAGGTTATCACCAATAGTGAATTCCACTATCAAGAATAACTTAGGGGGAATAAAGACAGATTCTGCCTGAAACTACCAAAAATGCCAATTATATTCTCTGCCAAAAATACATGTGGGGAAAATCACACACACATACAGTAAAGCCAAATAAAGTATTCTAACATGCATAGTTATTTGATGTCAATTTTAACATACATACGTAGCTTGTTCAATCAAACCCAGATACAATTTAAAAAAAAAACAAAAACAAACAACTGTGGAAACTTTTATTTAATCAAAAAACTTACACCAAACATGTACACCTACCTGACTCCTCACTCTTAAACCCCAGTTTTACTAAGACATAATTTAACATGCAAGTGAATAAGGGCTATTTACAGTTATAGATGCTATAAGCCATTTTTAAGTCTTAAGATACACATTTTAACTCAAGGAAGAGAAACCTGAGTAGCTAATGGATCCTGTAATAATCGATAAATGGATTCTGTGTCAAATTCTCATCTTTACACAGACTGGTTTCTCAGAGAGATACTTCTCAATCCTAGCAGCCACCATCAGTTGATGCTCCTGTTTTCTCATCAGCCTCACAGTCAATTAGTTAGCATAATTTCACTCTACTGGAAGCTAAATGTAAATATATTAATTCTAATTAATACAGGAATGAAAATAAATTAGACAACTGAAAGTCAATAAAAGGCAAATAATCTTACAGACTTCCATCTTCTACCCTTTTGAATAAAAGGACGATTATGAGAGGCAGTATCTGTCAAAAAGGCAGCACCTATCTTCACCCATGCAAATTCTGAAAACCTACACTTCCAAGTTATTACCCCCGCATCCATGTTGTTATTTTCTTATTTCCATTTTGGCCCTTTGCCCAGATTTTCGAATGACCTCTGGCAACACCGGCAATGCCGAGACAACTCCCGGGGCCCCCCGCAGCCCAGGGTCG